GTGTGTGTGTGTGTGTGTGTGTGTGTGTGTGTGTGTGTGTGTGTGTTTCAAATATGCTTCTTCAGGAATTCTCTTCTTTCACTTTTTAGTAACTAAAATTCGGGGTGGGGTGGGGTGGGGTAGGGGGAATCTCTAAGTTATTTTTGTCCTCAGTAAAAAAATTACCTCTTTGGCTTCCCTTGTCCTTCAGCTCTTCAAGCAAGTCACTTACTCCTTTTGGTCATTGTAACCTTTCCTGGAAACATGGATATAATAGTACCTTATCTCAGTGACTTGCCCTGAAGATTGAATGAGACCCTAAATGGAAAAAACTCAGCACCAAAAAGTCTGTAAATGGTAGCTGCTGGGTTTTTACTAATTTATTTACTCATTCGAGGAAATAAAGTCCAATGGTCACTGTTCCAGTGACTGAAACTACTTACATCTCTAACATACGAATTGACCACAGCAATAACCCTAAAATCGTGAAGGGAATGTTCAGTTATGTTTTGTGTATTCTGCTTTCTGGGGCACAGAAATGTTTGACTTGGAAATTTTGGCGCAGGGCACCAGGACAGGGTTCCCCCAAACTACACAAAATCACAAAGAATCATCTGGAGAACTACTGAGCTCCCGCTCCAGGGGATAAAGGCCTAGGAATCTTTTAAATAATCACCCCAGGTGGTTTCTCCGAAGAGCAAGTTTGGAAACACTGAAGGGACCTTTCACTCCATTCTAGCGGTGGCTCACCTAAGCCCTAAACCTCGTTTCTGTTTATTCAGTAAAGGCCACTGTTTACTACAAAATTTCAGAAGTACTTGCTGTCTTAGTAATTTTGTTCTTTTGAATTCAACCGAAGTCACTTGGAGAGGTCAGCTGCAAGCGGGATATTTTTGTTGGGTCTTTGGAAAGGTTCTGTGTTTTGAGTTCACTCGCCTCTGCTAAATGGTCAGGCCCTGTGCCTCACTTCTGAACTGCCTAATACCCCCCTCCTGTCGCACTTCCCCCCTGCAACGTCTCCTCTTTCTGGTCTCTCCCGCCTCAGGTCTGGCGTGTTTTTGTCCCTTAACTCCACATCTTGAGCAGAACATTTGGTGCTTTCCTAGTTCACGACGCCTTACTGGAATAGTCGATTTCCAGGGATTTTACAGGCTGGCCAAAACAGTTTGTTCCGAACAGCGACGCCAGGGCCGCGGGGGCCGGACTGGCAGCCAGTCGGCCGAGCGTTTCCCGACTCTGCACAACCACCCGTGACCTTGGGGCGAGCGAGCGCCGCTGCTTCCTGGCGGCGCCCGGGCCACGTTCTAGCTGGACTTTAGAACCGAAAGGGGGTAGGGGGGAACGGGTCAGTGTAGGCTTCTTAAACAGGCGAGAAGTTAGTTTCCTTTTCTCGAAGCGAATCCTTCTCACTAACTCCTGGGCGACGTGGGGAGCGACCGTTAGGGGAGTAAGGAGGAAAGGGAAATGTCTGCCAAGGGCTTGAGACAAAGCGTGAGAACTCTGATGGCGAGAAGCGGGCTTGAGCGAGAAAATCGGAAGGAGGAAGGCTGAGGGCGGACAATCGGGTTAAAAATAGAAACGTATTCTCCACAGGACTCGCTCCTTCCAGCTCCACCCTGGGGCCGACAGCCGCGCCAGTGACTCGGCTCCGCGCGACGGCAGCAGGGCCGGACTTGACCCCGCCTCCTGGACTCGTGAAGAGGGCCCGAGGGGGCGGGGCGTCGGGCTCACGACGTCACCGCGCTCCCCGCCGCCGCCGCCGTCGGGGTTTTCGCTGACGCACAGACCCCGCCCCTCCTCCCTCTTTCCCTCGCTGCCCGATCGCCGGGCGGAGAGAGAGCGTCAGTCGGCCGGAGCGCGGACCTGTGTGCGTCTGGACTTGGGGCTCGCTCGCTTCCCGGCAGCCGCGCAACTGCCCGACCGTAGCTGAGGCGACGGAGAGCACCGCCGGCGGGCCCTCGCGGCGCCCAGGCCTCCCTGCTCGCGTCCCGGTCGCCCTCGGAGTCGGCCCAGCCCGCCGCCGGTGGAGGCGTGAGGTGACGACGGGCGAGTGCCGCGAGCAGCGTTAGCCGCCGCGGCCTCCGGTCCTCCCTCCGCCTCCTTCTCTGCCCCCCCCCTCGCTTCCCTCCTCCCACTTCCCGGGCTCCGGCGTGTCCCGGCCACGCTCAGTGCCGCTGCAGGAACAAAGGAGGACCCCGCGGCGGCGGCAGCGCCACCTCCGCTTCCGACCCGCTCCCGGCCCGAGGCGGCCGCTCCGGGCGCCCGGCTCGCCCCTCCCGGAGGCCTGGGCCCGGCCTCACCGCGCCGGCGTCGCGCGCGAGCCCGGCTCCTGCCCTCCTGCCCCCCGCAGGGTGAGTGGTGCGGAGCTGGGGGAGGGCGCCCGGCTGCTCGTGCCGGGCCGGGGGAAGGCAGTGGGGGGCTCCGGCGGAGCTCGAGCGGGCCGCGGCTGGCGGCCTCCGGGGGAGGGGAGCCCGCCCTCCAGCTCAGGAAGCACAAAGACGGAGGCGTCATCCGGTCGTCGTGGCCCGGGGTCCCGCGCCCCCGGCCCGCCTGCACCCGCACGGCCCGGAGAACAATGCCCGGCGTGTGGGTTCCGGGCCTCCCTCGCGTCCGTCCGGGCCTCCTTCGGCGCGGCGCCCGGCGTGGGCAGCCGGACCCGGAGAGACAAAGGGGCCGTGGCGGCGGCCGCGCCCCCGGCCCCCTGCTCACCGCACACCCTCCCCCTCCTCCCGGCCGCCCCGGGTCGCCGCCGCCGCCTCGGAGGAGCCGGTCGAGGTCGGGGGTCGGCGCGGGGCCGGCTGGCCTGCGGAGCTGCTGTTCTGCATGACTCAGTGATTTTTGGAGAAGGCCCTGCTGGGCTTTCCTGAGCAAGGCCTCGGCTTCGAGAGGGGCCTGGGGGGAGGGATGGGGGCCCGGTGGGACCCGGACTTGTTCGGAAATCCGCTGGAACGTGGGTGAGGGGGACTCCTCCGTCGTCGTGTTTTAGTTTTGCCGGCGTCGCTGCGTTTGTCGCCCAAGATCCCTTTCATGAAGGAAATGGAGCACCTTCCCCTTTGTTTCGTGCATTTAGGCTGGTGAACATGCATTTCTTGCTCGCTTTCCACGCACTCCCGTGGAGCCGTGTTTTCAGGAAAGGCCCGTGTTTATTTGTTGCATGCCTCCTAAGAATCTAAGGACATGAGGGTAAAGTAGCATATAGGTCACAGAGCCCCTAGTTTTAAACCTGAGTTCAGGTCATTTACAGACTTAAAAATAAAATAAAATTTCATTCCTTATTTTTTTTTTTTAAGTAGAATTTCAGAACTTCATGGGTGAGAATATTGCAATTTTATCTTACAAGTTTTGTTTTTTTTTTTTAATGTTTCCCAACAAAGAATTTACTGTACTTCTCCCCTATTTTCTGTCTCGGGCCAGATATTAAGCCTGGAAAGGAGCCTTTAAAAATCACAGTAATCTCATTTTGGCAAAGAGAGAACGGAGATCAGGAGAGTAAGGACTTGCCCAAGGTCACTGGCTTAGTTAGAAGTAGATTAGATACTAGAACTCAGGTCTCAACTCAGGGTGAGTAGGCATTAACATCTTCTAACATGTGCACCTGAAAACTAAATTCCATAGGTGTAAAATGTCGTTCTTTAAATTATTATTCATATTTGAGGCTGGAGAGTTTTTCTGCTACATGCCCAGGTTTTGGTTTTCTTTAAACTAGAAGTTAGGGGAAGCCACAAACTAAAAATATACATTTCAGCTATTCAAACTATAAAAATAAACATTTTCCCTGTGCTTGATAGAGCTGGCACAGGCTTGCACAAGTTTCTAACAACAAAACTTTAAAGGTACTAAATAGTAATGGTATTGTATTTTTCTGAAATGTTGCCAAGCAGAAGGGAAACGGCACTTAATGGCAAACTGCCCTCTCCCGCCCCAAATTGCTGCTAAGCAGGAGGATTTAAACATGAGGATTCTTTCTGCCTCGGTGCTCTCTGTACTGTGCTTGGTTTTTATAAACAACCCTGACCATTTTGGCTTCACGAGTGATTAATGATGCATCTTTTTGTTGAATTTGAGATTGTTCACTAGCCCTGTCTACATTACCAAAAAAAAAAAAAAAAAAAAAAAAAGCAGCAGCCTTAATGGCATCTTTTTGTTTTGTTTCCTTATTATATTAGATATATAAACGCAGCATCCTTAGTTCTTGGGGTTGTGTAGGAGTTGGCAGGCTCTAAGATATAAATAGAAGCTGATTTCAGAGGCCCCTGTTGACTAGGCTTTATGTGAGAGCCTCCATCCAGCTCAGCCTGTCACATTGCAGCCTTGTGACAGGCTGAAGCTCCCGCCCATGTGATCTAAGCTTCTGAGAAATATTAAGGCAAGCTTTGCACATGTGATGGCGTTTAAAAGCTCGCTTTCTAGGGGGGGGGAAATCTACAAGATGGGAAGCTACGTGGAAGACTAATGTCCTGGTGTCTCTTGTGTCTCAGTTGCAGGCTATTTATAGTGAATTGAAAGTAGTTGTGTTTTCTGAAGAAGGGAAGGTGGAATACTTTGCAAGTTGCAAGTCGAAGTGGGTAAAATCATTGAGATTCCTTTCCCCCTCCTTTTTATGTAAAAGATTTTAAAGAATTGAATTAACTAAGGTTGATGCTTAACTTTAAGGTTGATGCTTAAATTTGGGCCTGTTCGCCATTATAAAGCCACTGTCAGATGAGCCACTGGAAGTTAGTATAGCAACTGTGAGCTAGCATAATTCTTAAGCTGGCTTCAAGGAATGAACTTTTTGCATAGAGCAGATTCCCACATACTACCTGGGGCGGGGGGGCGTGCAAGTAAAGACATAATTTATTATTTGAAGCATTTTTGCACATATTAAAAATTTTTTAAGCCCAGCTGAAAATGTTTATTAATAAACCTAAGTGATGTTGAAATGTTTACACTACCGTGCTCCAAAATGAGTCAGCTAAATTCCACTTACTATTTAAAGAGACCATGTCAACTAAATTAGTAGTATTGTTTGAAGTAAGCTGTGGTTCTCCAACACCCTCCACATAAGCTTGATTGGCTTGAAGTAGTTTCAAGCTTCAGATATTTCTTTTTGCTACCGAAAGGAAAGAGTACTATCATTTAACTGTGGAGGAAATAGTGGCAAGATTCTGGCCAGGTCAAATTTGGTTAGCCCTCTTCTCCCCTTCTTGTAATTTTGGGAAAAAGTATTAAATATCTTGCTAAAACATTGTTTTTAGTAACTCACTAAAGAGTGTATTCTAGTGTGTGTTAGTTGGAAAAAAGCCATATGAAATTCTAGACCAGCTCTAGCTTGAATGAAGGACTTTCCTGCACTTAATCTGAAATGTTTATAACTTAACAAATAAGTAACTTAACTTCCGTTATCAGTGTTAAGACACATTTAAATGACCATGACCACAAGTTATAGCACACAATCTCCCTTTAATAAAATGCTCTCAAATATGTTTTTGTACGTACATACATATTTTAAGGTGACATGGAAACTTTCTACAGTTTAAATTTTTCTAATGTGTGTTTTCACTTAAAACTCAGAAAAATTTACTAAATTTAGCGTAATGTTACTATATCTGTTCTAATTTTAACAAGGCTTCTGGAAAAGCAAGGTAGGCTAGCTGTATGAAGTTCTTTCTGGTAACCTAGCATTAAATATTAATGACTACTGAAGGTTGTGTGTTCATATTGCTTGGCTTTGCCATATTGAAATTGAGCTTTCAAAGGTTTCATTTTCTGACGTGAGGAAGGCAAGCACTCGTGAAAAGGTTTAATAGAGCCTTTGGCTGGAGAAATCTATAGCTGATAATTTGTGCTTTTGCAAGTTACTAGGCACTGCCTTTAAAGTATTCAAACCCAGATTTCACACCTCAAATGTAGAACTTAAAAGGAATTGCATGAGCAGCTGACCCCTAAATTCTTAAAGAGCTTCACTTGTCAGTGCCAAGGCAGCAGGAAAGGCCAGATGATCTGTCAGCTCTCTTCAGTGTTCTGTAAAGTTGTTGCGTTTTTAAAAGTTTTTAAAATTCTGTCCCATAGCAGAATTGTTGAATTACTAGTGAGGCCCATCATCTTGTAAGATATTTTAAGAAAGCTTTATAGCTACATCCAGTGTACAGCCAGCTTAAAGAACCACTAGTACATATCAAGAGTTGGTACTTAATTGTGATTATTGTAGATTTTTTTTCATTGGCAAGTTCCATTTTATATATTTTTAGCCAGAGAAGTAAAAATCTCATTTGATATGGTCTGCCTGTAGTGCAGAAATCAGAAAGTGACTTTAAGATGACAATTGTCCAAACTGATTTAAATGTAATTCTGACATCTGGCAGAGTGACCTTTTCAGAAATTGAAACAAAGATCATAGTGATAGGTGGAGTAATGCATTTTAATGTTTAATGATAGCATTTTTTTTGTCCTAAAGAATGTGAAGTTCCTATAGTTCATTGTTTATCAAATTAAAAACACAATTTCTGTAATGCCCTTTGTTTTATAAAGGCAACAAAATATTCATAGTTTTCTTGTCCTACTCTTTTTAATGATTAACATAATTAGGGCCTTTGTTAGAAATAGACTTGGTGTTTAGAAATAACAAAGGTATGCTGGTGGCTGTCATACTAATTTAGTGATTTTATTTGGTGACATGCTAATTTCTAAAATTTTGTTTTTGTTTTGTTTATAGCAGAAAAATATGGCTCAGGAGACTAACCAGACCCCAGGGCCCATGCTGTGTAGTACAGGATGTGGCTTTTATGGGAATCCTAGGACAAATGGAATGTGTTCCGTTTGCTACAAAGAACATCTTCAGAGGCAGCAAAATAGTGGCAGAATGAGCCCAATGGGTAAGTTTCCAAGGAAAAACCCATTTGAAGAACTGGTGGACAGAAAATATAGAACCAAGAATTGGGGCCTAAGACTATGAGAATCAATGCTGAGAGCCCAAGAAGAGAATTCCTGAGAAAAGCTTGAAATTAAAGCAGCAGCCCAGCCCACGTCCTTGGCATGACAACATCAGGAATGAATGACCATCTACAAGCATCTTCTAGCTTTTTTATTTTCCTTTTTGAGGTTTTGTTTCATACTTATGTTCACTGGATGTGACTTTTCCATACATGTTTTTGTTTGGATACTCACTTAATTGTAGGATTCAGCAGTACAGTGAAAGTGCTTAAATCACTAACCTAATTAAATGCAAGTATTTGTTACTTATTAAGAGTCTTGCTACTGAGTGTTGGTAGTCTTGCTGTTTCTTACAAATCCTTTTTTTAAATAGGAACAGCTAGTGGTTCCAACAGTCCTACCTCAGATTCTGCATCTGTACAGAGAGCAGACACTAGTTTAAACAACTGTGAAGGTGCTGCTGGCAGCACATCTGAAAAATCAAGGTAAGATTGACCACTTCAGGCTTTTTTATCATAATACAACAAGGAAATACATGGGTGCTCCCCATACCATTCTAATTATGAATGTCTATATATACTAAGGATGTTAATGGATCCGATGCCCTTGGCTTTGCTTGTGTTGAACAGTCTGGGATTCTGGGATCTTTTACTACATGGTCTTACAGGTCACTGAATAAAGACGTATATCATAACACTCCGTGGTACTCTCAAAGATGCTGTATTGAGAATGCTGTGCTTGTATTATAATTGAGGTTAAGTGATTGTAGAGTATGGCTCTGCAGACTGTGTTGTAATGCTACACAAGACATTTTGGCAAAGCTGCCCCTTTTGCCCTTAAGTTACAGGCACAGCTAAAAGTTTCCAGTTGGCTATAATAGGACATCGTAACCCATACACATATGCAGCCTTGAATTGATGAGCCATTTATCAGATCGCTTTCTTTATTCTCAACCATGTGTGCTGGGCATCCAATATTCTTTTAAGTTTTTAGATTATTTAGTTCCATTTGATCATGTTGGAAATAGTACGTACTTTAAAGTTGAACTGACAACTTACTGTCTCACAAAGAAGTACCCTTAACATCTTTAAAAATGTTTGCTTGAACTCAAATAGAAATGTGCCTGTGGCTGCCTTGCCTGTAACTCAGCAAATGACAGAAATGAGCATTTCAAGAGAGGACAAAATAACTACCCCGAAAACAGAGGTGTCAGAGCCAGGTATGCTTTTTGTTTAATACTAGTTCCGTTCTGGATTTGGTAGTACAAGAAAGAGTTGGTGGGAGAGGAGTTCCTTCCCATTGAAGGTTAAATTGGAGAGAGAGCTGTAAAATCTAGGCCAAGGAAGAACCACTCTCTCTCAAGTCCCTTGGGTGTAAAATAGTCACTCTTCTTTCTTCTCCTTAAACTCACACCATAAATTTATAATCTGGGAACTGGAAATATTAAGAATGTAATGAACTTAAAAGGTCGTTTGCCATTATATTTCAAAGATCTCTAAATCACTAAAGAAAGTGTTACTCATAAACAGAAGAAATTAGATTAAATTTCAAAGCCATGAGGAAAGTTTTATAATCAAAAGCAATATTCAGTCTTGGTATCCTCAGTGTTGTAGAAAATATTTAAGACAACATATTGAACACTGAAAGAAGCTTTCAAGTTGAAAAGTCTAGGAGTTGAAAAAGCAAGAGTTCAAAACTCAATATGGAAAGGCATTTTTTTCACTGAGTGCCTTTGAGTCTCTGCTTCTGTAGAGCATAGTCAGAAGTGCTGTCACATTGAGAGATGGACTTGTTTGAATTACCTGTGCTGGGCCCTAAAACAGATAGCTCTGTACTCTGTAGGGCACATCATTCATTTACTCAGTTCATTGTCTCCTGGTACAGTGTTGACTGAACACAATATAAAACTTTATTGTGAGGAAATAACATCTGTGGGTATGTGATCTGCTTTGGAGGCTTGCTTTTGCTAACATCACATAGCAAAGCTTATGTGAACTATAGCAATCTTAATTTATAAAGTTAAGTAAAAACTCTGCAGTTCAGCAGGTGAATCCATATTTGGTATTTTCAAAGGAGTTCAATTTTTCTGAAAAAGCCGGCCAAATTAGGTGTTCGTGGGGTTTTATAAACAAAATTACTCTGACCTGGGAACGGTACTCTTTTGGTTTAGATCTGTACCTAGTCTCTGCATTTATTATTTCTTAATAGGTTCTGTAGTTTGTTCCTCTTTGCCTTTACTGAGTCGTTTCCCCCTTCTTAACTCCCATTTGTCCCTGTATGTCCCAGGAACCACTATTCAGTCTTCTGATGTAGCCAAGGAAATGGCTGTCACACATACCCCTCCCCCAAACTGTTCCCGTACATTTTTCTTTACCATCATAGCATCAGGAAAAACTATTAGGTTGTCATAGTAGATTATTAGGAATGAGTAGTAGGTAGAGTATTATTCTGTTAGTGTATAATAGGCTATTAGTCTGACTAAATATATTACTAATGCAAATGAGTTATGTATTTACAGAGAATTTTAGAGTAAGCTGTCATGAAACCTATCAGCTTGCTCTAGAGTTTGGATTTATGCTTATAGCATTGGTGCTGGCCTATTTAAGCAGTAATCTTAGCATTGCATACAATAATTTGCTATTCTTGGGGTTTGGATTAATATTAAAACTCTGTGCTTCTGGTCTAATTGAATTCTATAAAAGCAGAACTAATTTGGTAGTTTTGTTTTAAGTAACTAGTGGTAATGGTGAGCTCTAATGTGCTGAACTGCAATTTTCATGTTGACAAATTTTATTGATGTCATGTGAACTAAAACTTTAAGGAGAAACACGGACTTCTTAAAAGGAGATCATTATCTCTCATTGTCTAAATTCTGTACCCATTTTAGAGAAGTACTGCAAAGCAAATAAAAGCTGTGCTTTAAAAATTCTTGATTTGCCTGTGGAATCCTTAGTAGTCAAAACTTCACAAGTACTTATATTGTCCTAAAGACTGTTTGCTGATCTTTCAAAAAGTTTAAGAACTATTCAGATTTTCTGCATGTGACCATATAAAGCCCGTGTTAAAATGGCAAAATAATTGTGAAATTTTAGGATCTGAAGTTAATTAGGGCTTAACGATTTGGGTTTTACTTACTGAAATTGCTAAATTTATGTATTCAGTCTTTTGTCTATCAGTGTAAAACCAAAATGAGTTTTTTGACGGTTGGCAACTTTATGTACTGAGTAATAATGAATGTAAACTGCCCTAATTAAGAAGTTTGCATTTAGGCAATTGCAATTTGGAAAAACTGGGCATGTGACCAGCATCTCCCAGGTCTTTAAAACTTAGGAGTTTATTCCCTAGTACTACCTGTTAAGAGTCAGTTTAAAGGAATTTGAGTGGAGTAATCATTTTACAAAATTTAGAGAAGCCAAGTATATGTTGGTTGGCAAGAAACTGTCAGATTTGAAAGTTCTGATACTGAAGTAGAAGATTCTGTTTAAAGCACATGTTTTTAAGAAAGGCTTCATGAATATTTTCACTAAGAATCTTCCTGCTTCTCTTAAATGTTTTCTTTTTGTGACTTAAGTAATTGTCAGCCAGTGAACTCTTAACAGTTATCTCATTTTCACCCTTGTTTTTCAGTTGTCACTCAGCCCAGTCCATCCGTTTCTCAGCCTAGTACTTCTCAAAGTGAAGAAAAAGCTCCTGAGTTGCCCAAACCAAAGAAGAACAGATGTTTTATGTGCAGAAAGAAAGTTGGCCTTACAGGTATTAGAGAACATAGAAGACAACGTATATTTTGTTGGTAGGCTTTAACAGGGAGCTCCCTTAAGGGACTGGTCGGTCCTAACACCTACAACAAAATGCCCAACTTTCAGGAACAGAAAGTTTCCAGAGTGGACTAGAAAGAGGGCAGGATAGTGGGGAGAAGTTGGGTTTGATTTGCACTTGTGTCTCTAATCCTCTGGAACCTTTTATTACCTTCAGGCCTTGTGAGTTACTCTGCTTTACTGAACTGATAAAAATTCATTGCTTTCGAGTCTTTTCTTTGTTCTCCTGAGGAGAAGGTAGTTGACCCAAACGGTGAACACCATCTTTGAGCCAGGCACAAAGTATTAGAATACTTCTTAACTGTTCCCTGTAAATTTCAGAACCCTCTGGTTCTCTTTTCCCTAGTTTTCACTTGAGAAAACGTTATCCTGTTATATGTAGGAGGAGGAGGATTTGCATCCAGGTCAGTCTGGCTTTAGAGCCTGTGTAATTTCTACCCTGTGCTATCCACAGGCGTTTATGGAGGAAGAGCTATTCGAATTTCTCACTATGTCAAAAGAGATTGAAAGCTGTTTCACAATTTCAAGTGGCAGACTCAATTTCATGTTACAGAGAACCATGAAAATCTGGTTCTTTTTTCTCCACTGACTGAGGCTTTTTTTTTCCCCTTTAATTACTGCAAATTCCCAAGTGACTCTACTTCCTCTTATGTGTACAGGGTTTGACTGCCGATGTGGAAATTTGTTTTGTGGACTTCACCGTTACTCTGACAAGCACAACTGTCCATATGATTACAAAGCAGAAGCTGCAGCAAAAATCAGAAAAGAGAATCCAGTTGTTGTGGCTGAAAAAATCCAGAGAATATAAATTACTACTTGTGAAGAGACTGAAACTTTGTTTTTATTTTAATATATCGTAGGAAAACATTAAAGAGCAGATGCATGGCCATTTTCCTTTGATGTTCTCCAGAGTTTTACTTTACACTTGTCTGTCTTATAATTGAAATTTTAGGATGTTTGGGTGTTTGTTACAGGCAGAAATGGATAGATACAGCCCTACAAAATGTATATGCCCTCCCCTGAATAAAATTGGATGAAAATCTGCACAGCAAATTGAAATACACAGACGATAGGGACAAAATTTAGTTCCCACGTGCCAAACATAATCCGTGAAATCTCTGCATGTTTGCAGCATATCTGCCTTTTGGGAATGTAATCAAGGTATAATCTTTGGCTAGTGTTATGTGCCTGTATTTTTTTAAAAAATGGTACACCAGAAAAGGACTGGCAGTCTACTTCTTCCATAGTCCAACTTCACCCTGTTAATTTCCACAACATGTTCTTTGGAAGCAGGAGGAAAGCTATAAAGAGGATCAGACCTTTCCGTGAAACCAGTATTTGGTGCCATATGTAAGCCTGGCTCATTGGTCTCCTAAAAGCTGTCAAGTAAGACATTCTGTGAAAGGTAAACATCGCAACTGGTTATCATGAGTAAAGCCATCAAGCCAACAGGGGCTTGAGCTCTCTTTGAAGCTTACTGTGCTGGCCTGCACCAGAAGATGCCTGCATTACTCTCATTGCTCAAAATGTTGTGTAGCACAGAACTGCACTAGGATTAATTTGTCTACAAGAAGAAATTAAAACTACATTTGGTTTTTACATGCCGCAGCTCTATTGAATAACATGCATCTGAATTTTAAGTTGCAAAGGTATCTGAAAAGTTCATTTTTCGTGTGCATCTTTTGTTGAATGTTTTGGTTCAAGAAAGAATGTTTAAAGCTTTTTTAAAGACTTCAGTTCTTAATGTAACTGTACCTTCTGCATGGAAAATCATAACCAACATGGCTGCAGTAGACTTCTTAGTGGTATCCAGCACCACTCGCAGAGGGCTGCGTTATCCTATTAATTGTACTTGGGTGTAGGACTCTAGTGTTCTTGGGTGTATTGCATGGGCTGCATTATCTACAGCATTGTACAATAACAACTAGAAGAGGCAGTATACTTCACTGATGCTTGTCTGGTAATATCACTTCTGTGTCATAATGGAAGGTTTTTGTGATGTATGAAACTTGTGTTTTTTATATATAAACGAGCATAGTTAGATTAGTATTGTGGTAATGCCTGTTTTCATCTGTAAATAGTTAAGTATGTACACGAGGCACTACTTCTGATTTATTGCAGTGTTCAGTCCTAGTTTTTACTTTAATTAAAGCATTCGGTTTTGCTTTCGATTTTTATGTACCTTAGTTCGGAGTTAGATCTGCAGATGTGTACAGATAGTTCATATTTATGTATTGCACATAATCATGCTATTCAGCATCGATGCTATATTGTATTATGTAAATAATAAAAGCCATGTACAGAGGGAAACTTCCACTTGTTCATTGGGTTCTTAAGCCACAGGTAGAAATCATAAAGAGGAATAGTTAGAAAATGTTTCATCTCCAACTTGGTAGTTGCATATGGAGACTTTGCATGGCTATCGTGTAATTTTTTTAATTGCCCCCCCCCCCCCCGCCCCGAACATGGTATGTTTAAGTGAGAGCCTTGAGATGAACTTTGAGACATCAAGTGTGGTACACAATGGGCAGCTTATTTTTGAAGAAATGAATAGGCACCTTTTAGGATCGTAACAATCTTAGGACTTGAGAAAGGAATGGACTTTTCACAACTGTGACCTATCTCCCTTGCCCGTTTTCTTGCTTTATATAAGGTGACACGACCATTTGTGTACAGAAACAGGCATGGTTTTGTTTCTGTTTCGGATTCGGTTCTAATGTATGGCTGGGCCCATGGGGTAGCTGAAGCTAAAAGCAGAACCATGACTTTTCAGTGATGGAGTCTGCAACGGAAATCCCCTCGTTCACTGGTCTGTCATGGTTCTTTGGGTGCTGCTGCCTGTGCTTCACGTGGCGGAAATCATGAGACCATCTCCTGAACTATGAAGATACTGAAGAATCACGATTGAGGTGAAAAGTACAGTACTGGGGCCAACAATTTTTATTGAAAGTTTAAGACTTCTCCTCTCAGTGCTATCTTTGTCAATGTTTGCTTGATGAATTTTAAATCTTAAGGCTTTGAAATCAAAGTGGTATCTGGGGGATAAAGACTTAGATGACAAGGTGATGGGCCCTTCGTTGTTCTGTAACTTTGTGCAGCACAAGATGGTGGTAATGTTTCCACAATTTTTTGTGAGAAGTATTTAGGAAAGATTTGGGTTGAGGATTTGTCAGGAGCATCAGTTGATTGAGAAGAAGAGTAAGTGTGAGACAACTAGAAGATTAAATTCTAGCTAGACTTGCATTTAAGTCGGAATATCCATCAGGCAAGACTAAGTGGCTTTGATTTTGGAATGACTTTGGAACTGACATCCTAAGCATCTGAAGAACATACCATGTTTCTCTTTATATAGGCTCTGTACACCCCCACTCCAAAAATGTCTTGTGAGGACAGACCATGATAGTTAAATGTATGGCCGTGGGCTGGTCCTTTTATAAGATTTATTCGAAGGGCCTTTTCTGTAAGACTAGTGCCTCAGGTTTGCTCTGAGGTGGACTTTTCACGGCGCGAATTTGCAAGCAGAGACCTTTTTTGAGTGGTATGGCGTGGTGGTGAAGGTGATGGACCCTGGAATCCGGCTTCGTCTGTAAGTAAACGAGGACGGTGATAGTGGCTGACGCATAGTATGCCCTGCTAAAAATTTTTAAAGATTCTCTTTTTAGAGCAGCTTTAGATAAACAGCAAAATTGAAAGTACAGAGATTTCCCATATACCTTCTCCCCAGCCCCCAACATGGGCATAGCCGCCTCTAGTCACCTCTGCCACCCGGACGGTATATTTGTTAAAACTGTTAAACCTACGTTGAGCCGTGATCGCCTCCCAGTCCGTAGTTTACGGTTCACTCTGGGTGGTATACATTGTGTAGGTTTAGACAAGTGTGTGATGACATGTATCCATCACTGTAGTATATGGACCATTTTCGCTGCCCTAAAAATCTACCTATTCCTCACCCTCCCTAACTAAGCCCTGGCAACTACTTTTTACTGTCTCTGTAATTTGCCTTTTCCAGAATGTCATGTAGTAGGAATTCTGCAGTATGTAACCTTTCAGATGGGCTTCTTTGACTTAGTGATACGCCGCGAGTTCCCTCCACATCTTTCATGGCTTGATAGGTGCTGAATAATATTCCATTGGCTGGAAGTGCCATGGTTTATCCATTCACCTACTAAAGGAAATCTTGGTTGCTTCCAAGTTTTGGCAATTCCAAATAAAGCCACTTTAAACCAGTGTGCGAATTTTGTGTGGACGTGAATTTTCAACTCTGGGTAAACACCAAGTGCGATTGCTGGATGGTATGGTAAGAATGTTTAGTTTTGTAAGAAACCGCCAAAATTCCAAAGTGGCTGTACCATTTTGCATTCCTAGCAGCAACGTGTGAATGATTTTTGCCCCACATCTTCACCAACAGTTGGTGTTGGTCAGTGTTCTGATTTTGGCCATTCTAACAGGTGTGCACTAGTATCTCATTTTAATTTGTGTTTCTCTGATGACATGACTGGAGCATCTTTCTGTGTGCTTATTTGCCATCTGTGTATCTTCTTTGGTAAGGTCTTTGGCCCATTTTTTAATCAGGCTTTCTTACTGTTTTATAAACATTTATATATCCGTATATATGTTATATATACGGATGTGTGTGTGTGTGTATTCTCAGGCAAGCTCCACGCTCGGCACAGAGCCCGACACAAAGCTCAATCCCATGATCCAGGGATCATGACCCAAGCTGAAATCAAGAGTCAAGACACTCAACCAACTAAGCCACCCATGTGCCCCTCTTAACTGTTGAGTTTTAAGAGTTCTTTCTATATTTTAGACAACAGTCCTTTTTCAGATGTGTCATTTGCATATACTTTCAGTCTGTAAGTTGTCTTATTTTCTTGAGCTATTATTAATTTTAATGTCTTAGAGTAATGATTTCCAGAACTTGGAAAGACTGTAGAATTGAAACTCTTAGCAAGTCACTACAAATGGGTAAATATCTACTAAGCAGTTAATGGCAACATGTTAAGTATTGTAAAAATACAATGTTTTAATTGTATTTTTTGCAGTCAATAATACATTCACAGAATTCAAAAACGAATTGATCAGTATAGCAAGGCCTTAAACATTCTGTCCCATACCCTCCATTCCTAAGACACATGTACATTTTAGGTAACTGTCAAAACTTGGAAAGGCTATTTTATCTCTTCCATAAACATTGTGTACAGAGACTTAATTTGACTCTTGTTTGCTTAATTGTTTGAGTGTGAAGTTCTTACAGTGATTTCTGTCCAGTAATCTTCGCTTATAATTTTGGAGAGAATGGTGGGTGTGGTTGCCAGTTGATTAGCCATAAGACTGTGTAGCCTTAAACTGCAGAAAAGGGTTTCTGTGGGTGAGGCAGCAGGTGTGGAAAGTAACTTGAAATTTGACAAAGCAGTTTCTTGTGTTTGTAGAATCTTTAAAGCAAACTACATGAACAACAGGACACAAAAATGCTATTTGATACTGTTTCCATACACAAAAGCTGTTTAATTCATATAAAACCAAAGAGCGCTGTTTGTGTGTTTCCCTCCAGAGTGCATTTGTGTGCTTGTCCTAGAAGTAAAAGTTATACCATTTTGTGACATAAATGTAAGACTCCATTTTGTCTGCAACAAAGTACTACTTTCTTTATTAGCATAGGTACTGATGTTACAAAGTCCTACTTCATGTTATACCTCAATTAACGGCAAGATGACAGATGTTATAGGTTATTTTCTAGTTGGTTAATAGGTCTTGGGTCTGTTTTTTCCTGATGGTTTTGATTGAAACGATCACCACAGAACTCAGATCGTATGTATCTGAAATGATTGGTAATGTAACCATGGCTGTTCAGAAATTGGGCTCATTGATGAGTTGACTCAGTAGTTAACAGGACTTTTTTTGTTTTGTTTTGTTTTGTTTTTTTGAGAGAGAAAGAGAGCACACAAGATGGGGAGGGGCAGAGAGAGAGGGACGGAAAGAATCTTAAGCAGCCCAACCCAGGACTCGGTCTCACCACCGCAAGATCGTGATGTGACCTGAGCCAAAATCAAGAGTCGGTCGCTTAACCAGTTGAGCCACCCAGGCACCCCAACAGGCAACCTTTCTAACACATTCTTAAATTTTGGTTATTCACTAGCATTTGCTTAAGTACCTTAGAGCTTAAGAATCAGCTAAAAACAAAAACAAAAAAAACAATAACAAAAATATATATAACCTACATGAGCTCAACTTAAGCACCAGTGTTGGAGTAAATTTCTCAGAGAGATCCTGTGTGTATAATTCACAGCAAATTAAAAACTGGTAATTGAGGGGCACCTGGGTGCTCAGTCGGTTAAGCGTCTGACTCTCGGTTTGGGCTCAGTGTGATCTCACAGTTCATGGGTTCCAGCCCCACATCGGGCTCTGTGCCACAGTGTGGAGGCTGCTTGGGATTCGCTCTCCTCTCTCTGCCTCTTCCCCCCCCCCCCGCCCCCTCAAATAAATAAACTTTAAGAATATACATATTTATAAAAAATACAATAAAAAATGGTAGTTGATCCTTGCTTACATGATATGTGCCTGCTCTCTCCCCTCCCTGTCACTAAAAATGTATTCAAACGTGCAAATTAGAATACCATGCAAATAACCATGATTTAGATTTTCTATTGTGTGGCACTACATCTGCTTTTTTATAGAACCACTAGGAGTGATAGTACTTAAAAAAAAAAAAAAAAAAAAGCATTTCTTTGAAAAAAACTTTAACCCTGGTATTCTGGTTCCACATCCACTCTTAGGAGAAAAGTACTTCCTTTCTAGGGTGACATTTCTAAAGGTACCCTTCCCCTAGACATACCCCATGTGCTTAAGAATATCACCCATGTACTAAAAATATCTGGTCTCTAATGTTGTCTTTCACTAATGATCGCCATTGTAAAAACAATTCTACTGTAAAAATTATAATACTTAAATACAGATAGTTAATCTGCCATTCCGCCCATTAGCCTTTACCATCTGTGTTATATTTAAAGCTCTGCTAAAATTACATATGCGTAAACAAGTTTCATCTTTAGCTGTTCTGCGGCTTATTTATTTGGTTGGCATGAAAATTAGACTGGTTTGAATATGGAGTGGCGTACCAGCTTTTGTCAGAGGCTGGATTATATCGGATGACAAAAATAATGTGAGACTTCAGAGATTTGATAAATAATAATACCTCTTAGAAAAAGTGCAAATGGTAGGCATCAAAATAAGCATTTATATTCAGGCACGGCCCTTTAGTATTCAAGTGATGGGCATGTTTATTTGGGTCTGATTAAAAGAAAGAGATT